GTAAACATTCTAACAACATCTAACAACTATTGGTTAGTTGGCCTGGTAAACATTCTATATAACAACATCTAACAACTATTGGTTAGTTGGCCTGGTAAACATTCTATATAACAACATTCTAACAACTATTGGTTAGTTGGCCTGGTAAACATTCTAACAACATCTAACAACTATTGGTTAGTTGGCCTGGTAAACATTCTAACAACATCTAACCACTCTTGGTTGGTTGGCCTGGTAAACATTCTAACAACATCTAACAACTATTGGTTAGTTGGCATGGTAACATTCTCATAACCACATCTCCCAAATAGTGGTTAGTTGGGCCCTGTAAACATTCTAACAACATTCTAACAACTATTGGTTAGTTGGCCTGGTAAACATTCTAACAACATCTAACAACTATTGGTTAGTTGGCCTGGTAAACATTCTAACAACATCTAATAACTATTGGTTAGTTGGCCTGGTAAACATTCTAACAACATCTAACAACTATTGGTTAGTTGGCCTGGTAAACATTCTATATAACAACATCTAACAACTATTGGTTAGTTGGCCTGGTAAACATTCTAACAACATAACAACTATTGGTTAGTTGGCCTGGTAAACATAACAACATCTAACAACTATTGGTTAGTTGGCCTGGTAAACATTCTAACAACATCTAACAACTATTGGTTAGTTGGCCTGGTAAACATTCTAACAACATCTAACCACTCTTGGTTGGTTGGCCTGGTAAACATTCTAACAACATCTAACAACTATTGGTGAATTTCTGGTAAACATTCTAACAACTATGATCAACTATGGACAAATCACCACTTTTGATGGGAACACTGGGAACATCAACTATTTCGACTGGGCCATGTTCAATAGCAAACTGTAACAAGAGGGTATTTGTAATGTATTTGTTACATGGGGCTTTCCGATACCATGGGGGATACCCAATAGCTGGATGATTTCTTTTGGGGAAATTCGGGAAAATCCGAAAAAGAAATGGATGATTTAGGGGTACCCCCATGGATTGGAAAGCTCCACATAGCTATGGGAAATCACTGGGAAAGCAATGGACATGATTTGAAATGATGCTCAAGATGGAAATGTGTATGAATATGTTAAATCTGTTGGTTACCCTCTGCTTATTTGTGAAACATAGCGATGGTAGTTCGATGGCCCATCTCGTTCAACGGCATGATGATTGACCCTCTGGGTGGGATTCACCCTCTGGCTGCCACAGCTGCCACAAAGCTATCATGCCGATGGTGATGGCTTTTTCACCACCCATCAACATGGTGATGCTTTGGGAATGGTTTATGCGATTGGGTTTACACCGAGGAAACCACACTGGATGATGATTGGGACCGATCTTTTTACTACTGGATCTGTCCCAACCCTTCGGTAAAATGGCCAGGTTCCATTTTGCTAGCTGTTTTAACCTCCATTGATAGAGGATTTCCCAGCGGCCCGCAGATCATACCATGATGTTTCCCATATATTTCCCATATTCCCAATCCCAATAAATCCCTAACCCCATGAAATCCCATTCCACACCCTCCATCCCTATCAGGATGGTGCCCCCCAGTTATATGTTGGCTTATAAACTATAGTTATATCTACCATAAACCATAGAATTCAGCCACTTTTGAAAGGCAACTGAACGCTATCGACTGGGGCCCCCATCCTGTACCAATCATGGGAAAATCATGGGGAAATGTTAAAAAAAATCATGGGAACAGCTTCGGAACAGCCCATGCGCTTTTTCGAAGGCCAAAATCCCGCCGTGATGGCCGCCAAGCGCAAGTTCCTGCCCGACGAGGTTCCGCTGAGCGAATGGATCGATCGTCGCATCGGTGGCGAGGCGCCGGCGACCGTTCCGAACGTTCTGAACGTTTCGGAGATGGGCGTGGAGTTTGTTAGCATCTGGCAAACATACCAAAACTGCTTGGTGGTTTGGAACATGAATTTTATGACTTTCCATATATTGGGAATAATCATCCCAACTGACGAACTCATATTTTTCAGAGGGGTTGAAACCACCAACCAGAAAAACTATGGAAAATCACCATAGTTATGATGGGTAAATCAACTATTTCAATGGCCATTGTGGATAGCAAACTGTTAGTTTACCAGAAGGTAGCTGCTGGTACTTGGGGGTGCGGGCCCCACTTAAATGGGTGCAACATATTGTACCCCCAGTTATATGTATATATATATATTATACATACATATATATGGAAGATCCCCACTTATATGAGATGAAATATGAGTTATATATATATATATAGGTTATATATATATAGGTTATATATATATATATGTTATATATATAGGCTATATAATATAGTGTATATATATAGGTTATATATATATATAGGCTATATATAGGTTATATGTATATATAGGTTATATATATATAGGTTATATATATAGGTTATATATATATATATAGGTTATATATATATATACATATGTATAGGTAATATAATATATATATATATGTATTATAAGCCACTTACTAAGTGGAATACACATCCAAGTAAGTTGGTTGAGAAAAGACATCTTGTTGGGTTTGTGATCTGTATATCCGTAGTTCCGAACAATAGGTCAGAGTCAGGATGGCGGGGAAGGAAAAAGTGATGGCTGTTAATTAGCAGTCACCACCAGGCACAGGAGAGTAGAATCACTGCAACCCACACTTGGTTTTACACTGGCAGCCAGCATTTGTGAGGGATTTGCTGATAGTTATTTATATTCCATTGAATCCCATTAAATCACCATAATATGTATCACTATCTGAGATGCCATTCCGATCCAACCACTTGCACTTGGGAGTGACAGAACAGGGTTCACCATTGCTGAACTGAAGTGACAAAGGCAGACATTTTGAGGTGAGGGGTCTACGGGTTTACATTGTATCTCCGTATTCATTCATCAACATGTATCAATGTAATGTATATATCTACTACTCACATGTATATAGCTACACAAATTTCTATGTCTATACACCGGCATACAGATAGCACATAGATGCACTGATCGACTCACATCAGGTGGAGATCACGGCTGACAACTGGGTTCGTACACGGAGCAACGGCAATGCCACGGAGGTTCGTACAATATGGGATCTCTATGGGAATTCTCTGGGATTTCTATGGGAAATCATCCCCAAAACTGGCGTTTTCCTGCAATTTCAGGACCAAAATTTTCCATGGCGATTTATGTGTCACAAAATGAGGACTCCCAATGGCTAGGTCCCCGAGTCCCCAATGGCTAACCTCCTCATCTGACAGTTGGAGAGGGGTAGAAAAAAACTGCTTAGCTGATAGTTGCATTTTTTCGGCCAAAGTTGGAGATGTGGCTTTGGACATCAAAACCAGCTTTAAAAGAAATCTGTGGAACATGGAACACTCACCAGCCGATGTGGCTGGCAAAATTTGACGAGATTTCACTCTTTTTGGGTATCATTTTTACCTCCAATGTTGTTTGAGACCCAATGTTGACCAAACACAGACCCACTTTGGCAATTCTCACTATTTCAGCCTATGAGGACACCCCCAATATAGATCTAGTTAATTGTTTGCATGGTGATTAAGCAGTGGATGTCGGGGTATACCTCATGTTCAGACCAACTCCATGTCAGATGATGTCAAAGAACAAACCCAACCATGACCATAAAATACCCAGACAAAACCATGAAATTTCGCCATGTTCCTTTGTTGTCCCGCTTTCAGGAGCCTGCACAGGGACCCGCATCTGGGCCAGGTGGTTGCTTGGTATCAACCTGTATGTTACTATTTTTTTCCACAGTTCTCTGTGAAAATGCTGTATATTTCCACTTTGCGACTGCGTTTACCACATCAATCAGGATAGTTACAGCTTGATTTGTAACATCGGATTGTTTGGAGCATTTCTGCCAAGGACGACAAGCTCTTGTGGTTTCAAGTGGGGCCCAACGGACGCATGTGTGTGTATATATATATGCATATGTATACGTATACGTATACGTATACGTATACGTATATGCATATGTATATGTATATGTATATGTATATAGATAGAATAGACAGCAACCATCAACATTATATTATGTATATATATATATAGTGATGTATATATATTTATAATAGTTATATATATACTGTATATATATTGTACATGTGTGTGTTATACATATGTAACACTTCAACGTAGCTCTCTCCACAGGCTTCAAGGGCGAGTCGAAGGGCGAGTCGAAGGGCGAGTCGAAGGGCGAGTCGAAGGGCGAGTCGAAGGGCAAAGGGAAGAATGGCAAAGGCAAGAGCGACGCAGGCGACCCTGCGGGATCATCGATTTAGGTTGGCATTCAGGACTCGATGGCTTTCTGATTCATCTCGAAGACGGGTTTTTCACTAAAGCAACTTATGACGGGTGTGACCCAGGAAGCAACTTATGACCCAATCAGTTTGTCCGAAAATAGGCTACCCTAAAGTCAAGCAGATGATCATCATTTTACCTATGAAAATAGCTATTTGGGATGGTAACTGGATAATCATGAGCCGCTCACAGCAGAGGATGTACAACTGAGCTGCGACTCAGGACATCTCATAGCCATGGCCGATCAACATCAGTGGAGAGATCTTCCAACCCTGACTGCCAGGGTCTATGTGAATTTACTGTAGGGCAAAGACCAGAGATGGGTTTTATCCGGTTGGCTATGACCCGCAGGTGATACCACCTGGTGAAAAAATAAGGGTTTTTTCTGAAATAAACCCATTTGATCAGAATTTCCCTCTGAACCAAGCGCAACATTTTCTGGTCTTCGTTGCCTCGGTGCAGACTCCTCACGGAACCTGGCTGAGAACTTCTTCAAGAGTTTGCCCGCGATGAACTTCACCGAAGCCGAGGCAGCGGCCGGTAGCGCAAACCCCAACGGCCCGTGGATTCCGCCGGCTTTGCACTGCCAGGAAGCGCTGCGTGATGCGATCCTGTGCTTTTTGGAGAACTGGGCTGAAGAGGTGGCTCCGGGGTCGGCGTTGTCACCCAAGCATAGTTTGGCTATTCAATCACTTTCCCCAAATAGAAGGGCCATTTTGGGGATATACTGACCATTTTCAGACACGTCCACATATTATATTGTTGGAATGATATCACTGATGATATGACAATATATGACATATATAAAGATGATTTCCCTATTAATTATATCACAAGAATCCAAAACAATCCGGAAAAACACATAAAAGTCGAGCCCACAATCCCATAAGATTCATGGGTTTAGTCGGTTTAGTCATATAATATCATATAAACATATAAAGATGATTTCCTTATGAAATACCCTCTGGTAATTTAACATAGCTATTGAAAATGACCATTAATAGTTGATTTTCCCATTAAAAATGGTGATTTTCCATAGTTATGTAACAAATTACCAGAGGGTATCCCATACAATCCATAACTATCCCATCACTTTTCTATCTCTGCATAGCTCCCCGATCTGCACAGGAAGCTCCGACCTTGTCAAAGGCCATGCTGGACCCGGAAGTGCGACGCTGCATCGCGGTATGCAACGGGCGGAACGGGGGGGGGCGTTGGAAGCTGGGGACCGTGGAACACAGCGATGGTTTTCATGGTGTTTTTGCATGGGTTTACCGTAACCTCTGGTAAACTAAGAGTTTGCGAACTCGAAAATCAGAATTTTCAATAGGTAAATCAACGAACTAAACAGCCATTTTCAATAGCTCTGTTAAATTCATAGTGGATAATGGGGTTTTCAATGGTTTTTATGTTTTTTCATTGTGGTTAAACTGGGTTCAATGGGGTAAGATCGCCACATAATTCAGAACACATTCAAGTTCTATGGTCAAGTTAATTGGATTCGATGACTACCCCTTAATTCGGGGATGGTCATGCCACCTTTGACATGGATGATGAACCGTTGATAGAGATTGTAATTGTATATAGATAATATTTATATTATTGATATGTGTTAGGGATTTGATATTTGGTTGATTTTGATATGATGAACCGTTGATAGAGATTGTATATTGCCACCAATGTGTATATAAGAATTAACAGCTATCAACAGGGACCATGAGACAAGCCGGAAAAATGCGGGTTGGCAGTCGGCTGATACCATTCGGCTGTCAAAGCTACTCATCGGGGGATGGTTGAGGAGTCTTCCACAGGAATCTGGATGGACCATTGAAAACCGTGGAATCCACGAGCCAAGAAGGACACACACACACACACATTTTTTTCCAATTATATCAAACCTAAATTGTGAAATACTAGAAATACTGTTTTGGTGTACATTGTATCATATTAATATATTATATCAATGATACCCTCTGGTAAACTAACAGTTTGCTACTTAAACTGGTCATAGAAATAGTTGATTTTCCCATTAAAAACAGTGGATCTTTCTATAGTTATGTAAACGTTTACCAGGTTGGGTATCACACATTAGCTTTTGGGATGCCCAATGGTGCTCTCCTCTGCCGTTGGCAGAGATCAGGCAAGTTGGAGGTCTTGCCCAAGGGAAATGTGGTATCCCTCAAGGACTCCGACCATGGTTGCCCTCTGGTTGAAAATCACGCGACTGGAAAGTGCCTGGTGTATGTTTGAAGGGACATCATCTATAGTAATGGTATTTTTTGGGGTAATTTTTCATTGCCTAATTTTTGGATTGCGATGTTGGGTAGCTGTTTCTGAATTTGGCCGGCTCCCCTTTTCGGCTCCCCATCACTCCAGGAGTGGATTGAACGACGTCTGGGAGGTGAGTTGGAAATTGTGAGGAACGAGACTGGAAATCTGGTGATCGGTCCCGGGGCTCAAGGGATGTGCCATGATGTGTGGTCATGATGTACATTCATGATGCTAAGTATTAACATAGGTATATCATGAATACTAATGACGCATGTATATCATGATATATGTATCTATGTAGAATATGTATATGTATATAGATACATATTATATATCTACATATATACATATATATATAAATAGACATGCACAAGTATATTTGGATTTTGCCTACATATCATACATCTATTGCATACGCTACATATATGTACACACATGGTAATAGTATCAGTATCATGCATGTATGTCTGTCCGGTACATTTGTATCATACATATAAGTATATATAGATCCGGAGAAAAATCACACATGCATATATATATACATATGTGTACATGCTATACATGTATATATTTGTATCGATTCATACGTATATTGCTGAGCTGTTGCTATTTTTCTTGTGGTTGTGCTTCTTAGGCATCTGCGGAGATCCTGAACCTGCCAAAAGAGAGGCCCGGAGCAAAGCGCTGCTGGCGCTTGCGGAGTTGCGGAGTGAAGGGGTGTTTTACTTCGTTGTTGGACACAAACAAATCCGGAAAGTTCCATCAAAAATGGTGCATATTTATACACCCAGAACACACACACACAGGTATATATATGTATATATATGCACATGGAACATTAATATTCTGGGTGTATGCTATTTTATCACATGTTTGTTGAAGAGGATTTGGGAATTTAACCACCATTTTTTTGGGGGAACTGACAGCCACAAAATTTGCGGATTTAGCCAGCAGAATTCGCAGGTGGTTTCAGCAAATAATCTTTTCTTTGCCAAAAGAGGATGATGAAGCTAGTTAAATCACCATTTTTGTTGGTTACATCACCATTTTTCTTGGTAAAATCACCAATTCCTGTTTTTCGAATCACCAGTTTTGATGCTTAGATCACACTGCAGCCGCAGGCTGCTGATGATTGGGAGCAGGGCCCAGGTGGAGTTCCCAGGGTACGGCGGGTGCGGGGTACGTGCTACGTCAGTTTCATGGAATGATCCATAAATGGTGGTACCCCCAATAGCTGGATGGTTTATAATGGAAAATATAATGGAAAATCCTACTAAAATGGATGATGACGTTACGAAGTGCAGGGGTAAGTGAACATTTTGAATCATTTTGAGAAAGTTGCGAGCTGCGAGCGAAAATGGAATGGTACTAAGCACGATCAAACTTGTGAGCCCAAGAGTGGATCAATTTTGACGTGTTGGTTTGCTGGGACTGGGGTTATACTAACTGTTTTGGAAACTGCAGTCAGGGTGAAACTGGGTGTTCCAAGGCAAGGTTCCTCGCGTGCAAACTGAGTGATCCGGGGCAGCGGTTGCGGCTGGCGGTCTGGTTGAGAGACGTACAGCGCACCATGAGATCCAAAATAGGATGCAGCCAACGCCTTTTGCGGCTGATTCTACCACCCGGTAAGTGACTCTCCCAATGATAAGGGTTTAAGAAGCACTAGCAAGGGCTTATCAATCATCTATATTGGGGAGTCACACTGACCATGCTTTCTAGGCATCCTGGTAGGCCATTTTGGGAGTCGAAGGGTGGCAGACAGCTAACACAGCTGAAGTTTGTTCAGTATCGGAAATGCCGCGTCAAAGTTCGAGGTGGAGTATGGCCTGGAAGAAACCATTAATTTATCAATTTTCTAATCTTTGGCATCGAACCAATCTTGCTAGCCAGCAGCAAAATCCACCCTGAAAATCGGTTCAAGTCTCTTTTAGCTCGGGGCGGGCCCTGAAAATTGGTTGGTGAGAGGCCAGGACTTGGGGGACAGGTTTGTCCACGAATGGATTGTATTTACACCAATTTGTGGCCATTTCATGTGGAACATTCTTTTCTGAAGGATGGAATGGGGTTTTCATGGGTTTTCTATTCTCAGATAGAAAAGAATTTGGATCGATGGATGGCAATTGATTTGAAGAACTCTGGTGTTCAGCAGATGTCAAGCATAGATTTGACCGATCCCCCACTCCTGAATTGACTGCCAAAAGTTGCAGGTCTGCCAAGCAGCCGCCCTTCCAATGTTCAAGGCCAATAGGACAGCCAAAAAACCCATGTTGAAAACGCTGGATTTCTGATTAGGAAAACTCAACAAAAAAACGCGGCGTTTTGAGCACCCAAAAGTAGCAACCAGCACGGAGTTTCACACACTTCTTGACCAACAGGACGCTGCTTTCACCTTGGTCTCTTGTTAAAGTTTCCCCAGGACGCAAATTGGAGGTCTCATCTTCGGGAAGGCCCAGCCGATCAGAGCCGTTGTCCCAATCTAAGAATTGGTTGCATCTCCATTTCGTACTATACTCGTAGCAACCCCCCAAACAGATTTTGAAACGTACATCATCAGTATATAAGGATATCCCATTTTTTTTCCTGGAATATAGCCACCCCCCTAAAAAAAAAATATTTTTGCTAAGATGTTACATCTCCAAAGAACTCTGGTGCTTCTCTCCCCATCTGAAATCGCAGGAGGAGATTGAGCCGGTGAAGGTGGGGGAACACACACACACACACATCGTTTTTTTGTTGACATGGTTTACCCTCTGGTTATGTCAAAATAGCTATTGAAAATGACCATTAGTAGTGGATTTTCCCATTAAAAATGGTGATTTTCCATAGTTATGTAACAAATTACCAGAGGGTAAAGCATTTAAATGGGCAACCTCATGAGGGATGTACCATATTTATGGTGATTTTTTGTGACTTACTAGGGGCTGCATCCCAACTGGTCAACAGATAATTAAATATGACTGGGCAATTTTCATCTATTTTCCATAGCTATGTTAAATTATTAGAGCGTATGTACTTAATCAACAAGAATCGGGAATGGAGCAATAAACATTGGGGTACAGACCAATCTTTTTGAGGCAGAAATATGAGGCGGCACATATCATAACCATCGCAATGATTTCTGTGGCTACAATCAACATCGCTTGGGTGATTATACTCATGAATTGTCTCATCAGTCCGTTCTTTCCCCAAATCACCAGCAATTTCTTTCATTGACTCCAAAACATCAAGAATTTTTCTCAGCTTTTGGCTGCTTGGTGGTTTCAAACATTTTTTATTTTCCATACTATATTATGGAATAGTCCTTCCCATTGACGAGCATATTTTTCAAGATGGTTAAAACCACCAACCAGTTGGTCTTGACTCAACGCTATCCCAATTTCCCCCGGTACCGGCAGGTTGCGGGGCCAGAGGTAGGGCTGCCGCCGGCCGCATTGCCGGACTCCAATCTGGTCTTTCCGAAGCCGTTGCCGTGGCTGGCACCACAGGTGCGCAAAAATTGAGCCTTGATAACCCCCAGTTCGATAGATCTACCATAATCCATAAACCTAAGTGAAACTGGGTAGTCCTAACCTTACCTTAGCAATTTTCCTGCCCTTGTAGGGGAGCAAAGTTTGATGGCTATCTCTCCCATGGTCCGGCAATGGTGATCAAGATGACCCACATCATGATGTGGGTCACCAAGGAATCCCCAAATAGATGGAATGTCGGATATAGTTTTTCAATGTTTTTCAAGGATGTTGTCGATGATAATGATGATATTTAGTCCAAGTCAATTCCAGGTCTCTACTTGTTCGATCAATTCGGGGCCAGCTGCGAGACTAGCCCATTCCATTTTTAAATTTTGTGGCTTAGAAATCATTCCACTATGCAGTAACACCTTGGGGGTATTTTCAATTGGGATCCTCATTTTTGATAGTGAAATCCAAATTTTCTTGATTCAACCATTCAAATTTGATGAGACCCCAGTCCGCCGTGTATGCCAGGTATAACCCCATCAATCAACCCCCTTAAAACCAACAGTACGCCAACAACCCCATTAAACCCCATTAAACCCCATTCAAGCTCATTAACCACCAAAAAATCTTGGGAGGTTTCCTAAAATACACCATTTTACGTTCATCCATTTATAGATGGATTTCCATGAAATAAACCATTCAGCGAGCGGGGTACCCCCATGACTATGGAACCTTCCATGATGACAGGCCGAAGGTGAGAGAGGTGAAGGACGCCTCAGTGGCTTTAGCGATTTTTCCATGGCCAGGGTTTAAGTCTTGGGCTTTATATGATTATAATCATCATGGCTAGACAGCTATATATATATACCTATTATAAGATTATATATATATATAGATACCTATAGATATATAGATATAGATATAATAGATTATAAGATACCTATTATGTAACCCAGTAAATCCGGGTATCGTAAATAATATATGATTACTTCTTGGGGTCCACCAAACAAAAGGTCCACTCGCTGAGCTATTCAGAAATGCGCCACTGCTCAAGTTGAGGTGTTTGCCCGTATATTTACCTACGTGAATCGATAAATTTTGGTACATGTAAACTTGATGAATGGATGAATGAATGAATCAATAGATGTGTATATACATATGTATATATATATACATATGTATATATATATACATACATATATATATGTATATATATATATGTATATACATATATATATATATATATATATATGTATATATATGTATATATATATGTAAATATATACACATAATATTATATATACATAGTATACATAATTATATATATATGTATATTCTGTATGTATATGTGTATGTATGTGTATATATATATATATACATAATATGTACAAAAAGTGAACATGCTCGATCTGGGCAAAGGTATAGTAGTGGACGATTTCCAACAAGATGGAGATTCACGACCATCGAGTCCATGGATGTGGATGTGGGGATGTTGGGATTTTGTCCGATTTTTTTTAAGGAACAAAGCAAGCCAAGATTTCATGATGTGTTAGAGAGATCAAGATGTAGGAGTTCTCAATTTTCAGAAACACTTGAACACTTGTTCTGGCCATCAGGATCGAACACTGTTTTCAGCATGACCCCTCAGGAGCGGCAGAGTTGACCATGCATTCGCTTCCGGGCCAGGTGTGGCCAGTTTCAAAGGGGTAGGTATACATACACTTTCATTAGAAGAAACAAATTTATACATCCGATTGGACGGAAACATTAATATGTATCGATATAGAAATCAGCAAACACATAGATACAGCGATCCATCCATCCATCTATCCATACATAACCACAATTTTGACTAGAGAAATAAGACAAATTAGATTAACGCATAGATAAATACATGAATACATAGATACAACAAATAAATGATAAATGGGTATGATATATCCTAAAATGGGGCTACCCCCAGCCCCCAGTCATCCATTTATAGATGGGTTTTTCCATGAAATTTGCACCATCCAATACCTCGCTCGCTTCGTCGCTTGGGTTATTCCCAGTCACCAGGTCCAAGGGGAGCCAGTCCAACCACGTGACCCTCAGGCGAAGTGGAGATTTCAAGCTGCAAAATGAGGCTTTTTGAAGAAGAAAATCACCATGCTTTAACAATGGGTAAATCCAGTAAATCCACTATTTCGACTGGGCCATTTTCAATAGCTATATATGTTAGTTTACAACATATGGGAGTTTCAGTAAAAACTCTGGGGTTGAACCAACAAGAAGCTCTAAGAAGGCGGATTCATCAACAAGGAGGTGGATTCATCAATGGCGTTGAGGATGACATCATTTGGCAGCACCGGACTAACACAGGACTCAAACCACTGGAAAAGAACTGCAAATGTTGAGTTTAGGCCCCCATCAACAACCTACATTTCTACCGTGCCTCGCAAACCTACAGCGCCCCAAGCCACCTCAAACCCTCCTCAAACCCTCCTCCAACCCTCCTCACACCCTCTATTCGCACATCATTGGGTTGTATGTTGCCGGCCTACAGCGCCCAAAGTCATCTCAACTCCTCTATTCCCACATCACTGGGCTGTAGTATGTTGCCAACCTACAGCGTCCCCAGCCACCTCACACCCTCTATGCCCACATCACTGGCCTGTATGTTGCCAACCTACAGCGCCCCAAGCCACCTCAAACCCTCCTCAAACCCTCCTCAAACCCTCCTCACGCCCTCTATTCGCACATCACTGGGCTGTATGTTGCCGACCTACAGCGTCCCAAGCCACCTCACACCCTCTATGCCCACATCGACCCCACATCACTGGCCTGTATGTTGCCAACCTACAACGCCCCAAGCCACCTCACACCCTCTATGCCCACATCACTGGCCTGTATGTTGCCAACCTACAGCGCCCCAAGCCACCTCAAACCCTCCTCAAACCCTCCTCACACCCTCTATTCGCACATCACTGGGCTGTATGTTGCCAACCTACAGCGCCCCAAGCCACCTCAAACCCTCCTCAAACCCTCCTCCAACCCTCCTCACACCCTCTATTCGCACATTACTGGGCTGTATGTTGCCGGCCTACAGCGTCCCCAGCCACCTCACACCCTCTATGCCCACATCACTG